CCTGGGTATGCCTCGGGGTCTGAGTCCCACAGAGGCAAGGCCCCGCCCGCTTCCCTGAGGCAGTTTGTCAGCACTCCCCACCTGTACCCACCCATCAGACTGGCCCAATTCATATAAATGTGTGAATGACAGCCCCCCAAAAGGGGCCTAGGTATTTTCATTTTGAAAGAGGGTGTTGGCTGACCCCCGACCATCTCCTCAGCAAGTGCACTCTCAGAAAGTACCAGAAAGGGATGTGAAGTGGGCCACCACCCACCAGACACATCTCCCTGGGCGTGTCCTCCACCTTCTTCCTCTTTCTCCCTTCATTTCCTTCACAGTGTACAAATGATTTCAAAATTCCAAGATTCATTCTCTCAGAACTGTTCTCCTGGCAGCAATGCTTTGGCCAGAATGTACGTGAGTGGCTGAGAGGGACCAGGGGTGTTTGCAACTTAGAGCTTGTGTATATATTACTTAGAACCTCAGAGACAGAGGCATTTTATTTATTTATTTATTTATTTTTAAGTCATCTCTGTGCCCAACATGGGCTTGAACTCATGACGTGGAAATCGAGTCACATGCTCCACAGACTGAGCCAGCAGGCACCCCAAGAGACATTTTAGTTCTCACTTTGCAGGTGCCTAGTTTGTGTCCACCAAGGCTGATTTCATCTTCTTTGTGGTTACAGTGTTATGTGGAAACATTCTCTCAGCCTTTCCAGGATATCCAGTAAACAACCCCCCAGTACCATCTAAAAAGTGGCTATAAAATAACTTTTTGTAACAAAACAAATCATTAGATAAGGCAGGAGAAAGACTAGTGAGAGTCTTTGCTGAAATTCCAACTGCCTTTCTTCGATGCAGACCTCCATCTTTCTTCAGATAAAGATTAGGTTGCTAAGGAAACAGGACGAGAGAGAGAGAGAGAGAGAGAAACTTTGTCTCCTTTGGTTCCCCTGGACTCAGAAAGCAAGCTGGGCTGTAAACAGAGCTGGACAAGATTATGGTAGATTTATAATTTACTTAGTCAAATTACTTTTAATTCATAGTCATGCCCCAGCATACATTTTTTCCCTCTGCAAGTTAGGTCTTAAACTTAGTGGTCCAATGTCTGACAAATAACAGAGCTTTAAAATTCATTGTCTATGATTAAACTCAAATGCAGGGCAGATGGCTTGTCTAAGTATGTGTCAGACAGGCAAAGCACTTAAGATTTGTGACAGGCACGACCAGGAATTAACTGCTAAGTTTTTGCATTTATTCATACATTCATGTGCACCATGAATATGGCTATAAAACTTCCTTAAGTGTTCTCGCTTTATTCAAAATATTCCCAAACAAAGCAACTGCTCTCCTTGTGGCAAACCAGATGCCCTAATCTCAACCCCATTAACTCAAAATCCATTTTTCTCATATTCTATGTATTGTGCACGTTTCATTCTATTCCGACATTCAGGATAAAAGAGCATCCTTCTGAAAACCCGGTTTACCCAGAACCCACAGTGTTGGTCCCCACTTCAGTTTTATGAACCTTTTTATTGAAATATTTAATTATCTTATTGAACAAACATTTGTCTGTGGAAGTACACAAAGACCAGCCACATGAGAACAGGCAAAGGCTGTTTATTCAGAGCTCACTATAGCAAGAGAGTCAGCCACTGTCTTTTGGCAGATACTCAAAGGCAGGCTGAGGAGTGGGAAAGCTTTATAGTGGAGAAAAGGGGACGCAGCAGATATGCCCTGACTGGAGGCAGGTGGCGTGGGGAAGCTGTAGGTGGGCTAATTAAAAGTAGGGCATCCTGTGTGATGGTTAGGGGGGCATATTGGGCTGTCTCTGGCTAGTCCTCAGTTGGAAGCAAGGACAAAAATTAGGGAAGTTTTCCATTATCAACCAAAATCCTGGCCATTTTGAGCCATTTATTACATGGGTTATTGTTTGGCTGAACCACTTGCTAGAGAGAGTGGTTTGACTTCCCATGAGTCTGACTTGTAAATTGCAGGCTGGCCACCATAGATTTTGGTCTCCTGGACTGGTTGCTGCAGATCGTGGGTCAGAGTTGTTCTCTTATTGTTATGCTCTGGCTACTGTCCATTGTATATTCAATCTCTCAGTAAATAAAAATTGTACAAATAGAAAAGTACACATAGCGTAAGTGTATGCAGTTCAATGAACTGTCAAATGTAACAACCACCCTGGGGGTGGGGAGCCCATTTATTTTTAAATTCTCCACAATCCTATCTTCAGAACACGGTGTCAAAGAACATTTTGAGTCACAATGTAGAGTCCTTCCATGTGCTTCTTTAGTTCTCATGTCTGAGGGCAGGACTCACCAGCTACAGCTTCCTCGGCTCTTCGAAAGTCAAGGCTTCCTGGACATGATGGACACAGAGAGCCCTGCATTTGCCACAGCCAAACTCAGCCCTGTGAGTCACTTTTCCTCCACATTCCTGGACAGAGAGGAGCAGGTCGGAGAGCATGCCTTGAAATCCAGGCTCCACCACTCCCTTGGGCAAGTTAGATAATCTCTCAAAACCTGTTTCTTCATCTACAAAATGAGGGTAATAATAGCGCCTACTATCAGGGTTGTTATGAAGACGCAGTTAGGCGATGGGCATGCAGACCTTTACCACAACCCCTTGCATGGAATGGACACTCAGATTTAGCAGATGTATTTCTCCCAGTAGTGTTGAAAAAAACGATGGCTGAAAACTAGTGAGAACCTACTATGTGCCAGGCACGGAGCTTAGTGCTTTCTCTTAAATTTATGGTATTAAATCTATTAGAGAGTATGAATCCGTATTTTATAAATGAAGGAGCTGAGGCTTGGAGAGGTTAAGAAAGCTCTGCACAGGGGCGCCTGGGTGGCTCAGTCGGTTAAGCGTCTGCCTTCAGCCCAGGTCATGATCCTGAGGTCCTGGGATCGAGCCCCACATTGAGCTCCTTGCTCAGTGGGAAGCCTGCTTCTCCCTCTCCCTCTGCCTGCCGCTCTCCCTGCTTGTGCCCTCTCTAATAAATAAATTTAAAAAAAAAAAGCTCTGCCATTTACCAACCTTTGTTGTGAGGACTAAGAAATGATTGTAAAGCACATAGTCCCAGCACATCGTAATCAATCAACTGGGTTGTGGTTTAAATTTTTTTTTTTTTTTAAGATTTTATTTATTAGCGAGAGAGAGAATGAGAGACAGCATGAGAGGGAGGAGGGTCAGAGGGAGAAGCAGACTCCCCGCTGAGCAGGTAGCCCGATGTGGGACTCGATCCCGGGACTCCGGGATCATGACCTGAGCCGAAGGCAGTCGCTTAACCAACTGAGCCACCCAGGCGCCCTGGGTTGTGGTTTAAAGTGACCCTTTGATCATCCACCAGAAAAGATGCTGTGCAGTTGCCAATCCATCCATCCTTCCTTTCGTCCTTACTAGCAAAATCACATTTCTGTGTGGGTTGACAACGTGTCCCAATGAAAATAGCCCTTTCCTCAGTATCCCTTTATTTCTTTGGAAGTTTATGTGACCCAGTAGTGGCCAAGAGGTTAAGTGTACACCTCCTAGGCGGGTCTTTTAGGAAAACTATTACCGTCCCAAGAAAAGGGAAGAGCTTCATCTGGCACGTACTTATTCCCCTTTGTCCCCATTTTTGCTGACCGGAAAGCCATGAGTACAGCTGCTCTCCTGCAGGCATTCAAACCAAGACCCATGGCCAGGATGGCAAAGCAGGTGCAGCCCCGGACCTCCATGGCCTCGGGGGCGGGGGGGTGCCAGCCCCGGTCTGCCAGCTTCCCAACAGTTTCATCATTGCGGTTAAACCACCATCAGCGCCAGACTCCTCTTACACGCAACCCAAGGCAATCCAAGCCAATACATGCACCGTTTAGGGCAATCGGAATGTCTGAATGAAATGACACTTCCAAATTAATGAAAATTAAGGATTTGAAGTCACTTCTTTACCCCAATCTGTCTATATGTCCCAACAGAGAGAATAAAAAGAGCTCCAAAGGTTGAAAGGCGGATTTCCAATCATCTCTCTAGGAATCATTCTCAACCTTCTGAAGATCAACATCAAGGCTTTTTCTGAACATCCAAGTCCCATGTGTCAACTCCTAGCTGCTAACTTTCCCCTCTTCCCAGTCATATGGTGTTGTCTATGGTGTCATCAACAGGGTTTCCATGGGTCATCAGCACTGTGCCCATGGGATCTGAAGACTCCAAGGCTTGGCCCTAGACCAGACTCACCCAGCACAGAACTGGATGATGCTTCTGTAAAACCTGAGGCATCTGCTTGGCATTTTGGTCCAAGTCCAAAGGCTGTAATTGCATTCTGCCTGCTTGGGGGCTCTCCTAGAGTTCTAATTAGGTAGTATTTATTTTCTATCCAAAAAAAGATTATGCCTGACATCGCTGTACACGTTAAAACAGCAAGGGGCCCAACTCAAGTGATAAGGGAGCATCTTAGTGTGACAGAAAATGATCATGAGGCAGGGGTGAGAAGCGTCCTCAGTCTTTACCCGGAGCCAGCCGGGACAGTGGCTTTCAACTTGGAAGAAGCTAAGTGTATCAGAGGGGCTAAACTTGTGGTTTTCTGTGCCATTACAGGGAAATAATACACATATATTCCCACTTACTTTAATGATTTCTAAGGCATGTCAGATGAAAAGGGGATTGAACTCCCGCCCCTCCTCTCACAGCTTTCCTGTCAAAATACAAGCCACATGAGGACGCCAAAAACTAAATTCCTTCTGTATATTACTATGCTGTCTTACCATCGCATGGTATATGACTTTTTATATCCCAAGCTATGAATAAACCAGAATTGAGGTGTTTTGCTCTGCTTAAAGAAATACCCTACGAGGCCAAAAATTTTAATTATTCAACACGCAAAACCACTTTCCTGAATGTATGTGACTAGATGGTGAAAGAAACACGTTCAGAAAATATTTGAAATGATCCTCCCCTTCCTTAAACTAGAAAAGGCACCAGGTTTCGGTAGATTATGTTGTATTAAAATAAAGACTCACACACACAATGAAGAGAAAATCTCTAATAATTTATTTGACCTTCAGTTTCACATTGTGAAAAAAAAATAACAGTTTTACAAAACCTCAAATATGTAGTAGTAGCAGACAAGCACATATGAACATGAACACTTTACTTCAACTTACACAGAGTTTTGTACGTGAACCACATATTCAACAGCCGCGAGGGAGATTATTCAGCTCTAATCACTCTTATTCAGACAGGTGTCAAGCCCAGAGAAAAGGGGGCTCCACAATTATACCAGAAGTGGAAGGCTGCCCTTTGTTATGCGTTTCCACAGCAACCAGTCCACAGAATAAGAAGAACCTTCTCTGTCTTATGCCAAGGTTTTTGTGTGCACTGTGCTGTGAATTGTATTTGCTTCAAAGTGGGGGGACGTTTCACAGGGTGAGAATGGTCAAGTAGTGAGCCCAAATGCCTACATCAATTCAAAGAGCGGGAGTCCAGAAAGTTCCCTGCAGGCTGGGGGCCCACCCTGACCACGGCTCCCTCTGGCTCGCACACAGTAATTAACAGAGGATTCAAGGACAGACCACAACTTTGAAACAGCTGCAGAAAATTCATCCTGCTTGCAGAAGTCACGCAGTGACACACACATCTCGGCAGATTTGCATCATAAACTAGAGAGCCGGAGCTGCTATAATAGAACGCCACCCCCACGCCGGCGGAGTACAATTAGACATTTGCATTGCTTAGAACACATCTAGGAGCGAGGAACTGCCTGCTGGAAAAGTATTGTGACGCTTCTATTCCAATGGCTCATTTATTTTGGTCCAACTATAACCCACTTATTCATGGCACGAACGGACATGTACAATTAGTCTAAAGTATGCAGGTAAAGAGAAATGTTAAGGATTTTTATCTGTCACTAGACAATGCAAATACACTCACAATGTAGAAGGTTGTTATCAGTCTTAAGCCCTATTTTCTAAACTACAAGTAATGTGAGAAACATCGATGAAAGCGGTGCGAGTTGCAAACTCTGGTCTTCCCCAGACACCTGTGAGCAAGCACCTAATTGAGTCTAGCACTAATACCTATCACGGCACACGGTTAGTAAACAAGCACTCGAACTAGCAAAGAATGTATTCACAACAGATTCCCAACGATCCCGGAAAACCTCTCAACAGGGGCCACTGCTCATCATTCTTTGGTGTTTCCTGGCCAAATGGGTCACTTTTGCGCACCAAAGAGTTCTTTTTAGAGACTTACCCAAGGGTGAGCACTAAAGTATACATTGTACCGATGTGAATATGGTCTTGGAGAACTCTTAACACTTGCTAAACTGTACATCAAGAAGACAGAACAATGAACCCACCAGGCCAAGCAAATCCGGTGAGTGAATTAATTTACATCTGTGACAACTCAGCTTTTTCCTGTTAACTGTGGGTATGGCAAAGCATTCTCACAGGGTAATAAATAAATAAATAAACTTTGGACAATGCCTTTAACCTGGGCCCTATATACAGAACTATTCCATAGAATTTTCCAGGATTTCAGGATATTACACAAAGGAAAAAAACTGCAAAGCGACTTGGTCCTTTCCAAATTTCAGTAGCTGAGACTGAAGTAGGTGACTCAGATGGGAAGGAACAGGGTAGGGAAGCCTTCCCTCACCCCATGAGCCATCAGCATGACCAGAGCCCATGAAACCCCATTAAAAGTTACTGAGTCTAAGAAAAGTGACCTCCATGCTTTCTCTACCTCTACAATGTAACCTGTTTCGGTCTTATACTCCTTCCCTGTCTTGACATTTACAAAATACCCCCTCCCCTTCCCAACCCACCCTCCAGTTATACTCCAAATTGTTAACTGCCAAGTTTTCATTTTTGTGCAGCAAAGCACTTCACAACAGCCACAAAATTGTGCAAAACATACAACCATTCACACACATCCATACACGTGAAGACAACTGTAAGCATTGTTTCAGCATGCAGGCATCAAACAATAAATAGCTAAATCTATAACAAATTTTTTAACAGCCAAGGGAAAAGTTTAAAGTCACTTATAAATAGAAAAGAACATCTACCAAATACCTACCAACAATGTCCCCATTGTTCAGAACCTTCCTGGGGAGCACAACCCCTCAGAGATTAGCAGGGAGTCCAGTGGTCCTCACTCAGCAGCCAGCCAAGCCAGCTTCCCTCCTGGCCCCACAGTTGGGCTTTCAATCTCCAACAGCAGCTGGGGTGGAGGCTTCAGGCTTGCTCCTCAGAGAGGTGACAACCATTTCAAATTTTACACATAAATGGTAGAGCCCATGGAAATCAAATGCTGAATGCGGTACAGCAAGGGAAAAGGGCCGGCTTTTCTCTCCCTTTGAGGGGCTGATTAACGCTGACATTAATCCACAATTACAAGACAAGGACTAGATCACAGGTTCATTCATTCATATTTAAACCATGTGCTACTTGCACTGAAAATCCCCTCCCCTCCCCCACCCCCTCCTTCATGTCCAGTTAGAGAATTTACAAGGTGCAGTGCATTGTATCGGAGCCTTGTAGCAACTTCTTTTCCTTTTTCTTTTCTCTCTCTTCATTAAATTTGGCCTCTCCAAAGTAGAAATCGCATTTTGTCTCACCAAGTGATGGAGCGAGCTAAAACAGAGAGAAAAAAAGGATACTTGTTAGTAGCCTCGAAATTTAAAAAAGAAAATTAAAATCAGGACAGAGCTGGTCAATACTGCTTCTAAAAGTCTTAATTACATGTTCAGTAGCAAGTGTGCAAAATTTAAGTGCATCCATGTGCATGCACGGATACAGATGATTGGCTCAACAGGAACGATGGTGTCCAAAGGAAAATCTTCATTCTCTACTACACTGTCAACCAATGTATGTGCAAATGTAAACTTCTACGTCTAGGTGCTGCTATGAGTTGCCACCTTCCGCCTCCAACATTCATACTTCACCTCTGTGGTTAAACAGCCATTGTGAAGCAATCACCAGAGGGTCAAAAAAGATTCCTGTGCAAACCCTCCTTGGCCCATTTACCATAAAGGATTCCAAATTCAATTTATTCGCCATATAGAAGGCAGACATATTAATCCTCTTACTGAAATGCATCTCTGCTATTCATTATGGCAGAAATCAGTCTCGCTTCCTTTCACACGACAACATCGCAGGCCTCCACAGCCCAAGGCTGGAGTTTATTCTCCAAGTTCATCAGTCCACACCTGGGAGATGCCGGCTATGCTATGCAGTTATCATCTGCAGAATCCACCAACGTCGAGCGTCAATATAAATTCAAGGTGCCCTAACCACAAAGCCTGCACATTTCACGGGAGCTGGTGTTTCCCCACATGACCCACCATTTCCATCCCGTATGTCTACTTTGATACAGGGAAACTCTGCAGACGGCTTTTGTCTCTCCAACACTCACCCTATCTGTTCATAGAGCACATTTCCAGCCCTAGCAGAGGAATCTCATCCCTGCTGCTAGAACTCTAAGTGAAGACAAAGGGAATTCAGGAGGGGCCGCTGGTTACTTGCACTGAATTCTTCTTGCTTTTGTGTGTTCAGAAGTCTGATTCATTTCATTAGTTGTTTCTTTTGGCAGTTTCATAACAGTGATTCAAGCTTGCAAGGCATTCCTTAGACTACAGTGTCATTCTCCCACCCCCACCTCCCAGGAACCTATGTATCAACAGTAGGCCAAAAGAATGTATTTTGTAACTGTAATAATACGAAGATTCATGATGGTGCATATGCAAACAGGAGAAAAAAAAAAAAAAAGAAAAACTCTAAAAAGGGAAGGAACAAAAGCACATGGAGAGCCAAGTGCTGTCAGGTTGGGGCCACACAGCACCATGAAAATGGGAGAGTAATCAAAAGCAATTTCCTTTTTGTCCTTCCCACCCACTGACAGAACGTCAGGAGACAGTTAAAATCCCCCTGGTGAATGAGCTTCTAGACCTTAGGGAAACTTGTTGTTAACGCTGTATTAACTTGGTTAGCACCTACGTTTGGAGATCAAAGAGATGTCCCGGAAGTTTCTGCAGCTTAGGGCTGATACCTGCACAGCACCTCTTTTAAAGTCACCCCATCCAGCTGAAGTGTTTTTACACTGTCTTGTGTGTAGAAAACTTTGGACGTTTAAACCAACATGCTCTCTGTGGGAAACCGCACGAGTGGCTTTGATCAGGTCCACCCCGCCCTTTGCAAAGGCGAAGGAGCATTGTCCAATTCCGTTGTTCTGTGCTCCACTCTGGCTGGCGGCACCCAGGGTGGGGAGGTGGGGTTTCCCATACGACCGAACGCTTTATTTGCTCGGTTCCCGGGGACCGGAAGTCTGGGATTAGGTTCAAACACCCAGGATAGGGCGAATTCAAGTGTTTGCCAACATACTCTGGGCTGCAAAAGGAGGCACCAAAAACGAAGAATTAAGATAACAAGCAGAGAATAATCAAAGAAGCTTCACTTTCCTGCCACACACAAAGCTAATTCCGTGGTGGCTGAGGTCTCAGTTGAAGGAGGAAAGAAACCTCAGAGTATATAGGTCAGACACTGGGTAAGGTATTTTTCGTCCCTTTTCTCCCCTCATTTATCAATTCACCCAAGTCTGAATGTGGATAGAGCTCGGAGAAGCCAAATTCAAATCAGTCATTGGACAAAGGAGGGATCTGAAGTCCAGAAAGGTCCACAGTCCACAGCTTCGAATCCCGAATCAGAATGCACACATGGTCTCTTCCTGCCTCCGCTTCCTTACCTTGCTCCAAAGGTGCCAGCCCGTCTACCAGTCACCATTTTGTGGTACCACCACCATCACTGGTGATTTTTCTGCCTCTCCTATGCAAATATAGTCGGCTCTGGACTAACACCGAACTTAGTGTACTCTTAATTGATGCTTTTGCCCAGAAGGTTCTTCAAACGTGCTTTAGAGGTGAGTCATGCGCTCATATCGCAGACGAAATAACCACGTTCAGAGCATTTGTTTACTCAGGATTACTGAGATGCCAGCAAGGCTGCAAAAACCAGTTTGGTGTGGGACGCTGTCAGCCCAGTCGCTCCCCACAGGAGGTTTCTGACTGTTGCAGCTCCTTTGAAGGAGTTTCGTCCCAAGGTTACATTCTATTACTAAGAACTGTACTAACTGTTAGAGGCTGGAGGAGACAACCGAACCAATGAAAAAACAAGAAAGATTAATTGTAACAGGGACGCCAATTTTAGCGGTGTCTTAAAATAAGCTGTAAGAGAGGTGGAAAGAAAAGACAAATGAGTCAAAATCCCTCTTTGCTGAGCTCACAAAGACCCCTAGATTCCCTTTTTTCCCCTCTGAAAGTCCTCTTCCAAAGTGTGAAACACATTAGGGAAAACAGAGCCAAAAGTCTCCAGGTAATGAGCTGGTTTTCATTGTACTTCCTCCAAAGCCTAGTTTTAATTTTATTCCCTTATTATTAGTAATAAGCCCATGAATTACCAAAACAAAGCAACACATCCCACGTGCTCCGTGCTACACTCAGACGTGCTTAAGTGGTTCCTGGGGCCAATACTAAAGATGCTTAATGGCAGCAAAACGGCCATTAGCTCCACGAACACTGAACTGTGTAGGCCTATTAATTATTTGAGCCAAGAGTATTATATACTCTTAAGTACACAAGACGACCATTACGGACTCAGATATATGACACAGAAAGACAACTTTTGTTTGCCCTGACAATAGGGTCAGCCTGTCTGATTAACTCTGAAAGGCTGCAGTGGAAGGCCGTCTAGAGGGCTCAGTGTGCCACGCATCTGACAAATGTATACAATGCAGGTGCACCCTTTTACAAGGATAGACCTTGATTTCCCTCTGAAGTTAATAAATGCCCTAAAGGGGGCTATTTTTTTTTTTCCCCTCAAGGAAAAAATTTTTAAATAAGAAATAAATAATTTGGGAGGGAACAAACTAAACTTAAGCATTCTGTTTTTTACACCCTACTTCATTCCACAAAGGGTTTGAGGCATCTAAATTTGAATATCAACAAATATCTCCTGGGGTGAGATGAATATGAAGCTCAGGTTTCTTAAGGAGCAGTTCAGCATGATGCTCAAGTGCTTCCTCTCTGGAGCCAGAGTGCCTGGGTTGATTTCTTGACCAACTCTTCCACCTACGAAGCTCCATGACCTTGGGCAACTGCCTTAACCTCTGTGTGCTTCAGTTGTTTTCATCTATAAAATGCTCTAGTAATACCTCACGAGGTCGTTGTCAGGATCACATGAAATGATCCATGTGAGACACATGGCCCAGCTCCAGGCGGGCAGGGAGGGCTCAGTAAACATTAGTTGGCATTATTAACCCAGGGCAGGGGTTCTCAACCCAGCTGTAGATCAGAATCACTAGAAAACTTCCAAAGAATGCTGCTGCCTGGGACCCACCAGGACCAAATGCAATCAAATCTCTGGGATGGGCCGTTTTTGAGAAGCTCTTTGGGGGAGTGGGAGGCTCAGTCAAGGCTGAGAACCGCGGGCTTCTGATACGGGGTGGGGAGCTGCAGCTGTGGTCAACACAAGTGCTTTCAGTTCTGGGGTGCCAATCCTCTTAATAGTTTTTGTAGCACTACGTCCATGGGGTGAGCCACATCGATCACGTCTCAGTCCCCACAGGCACTCGCACAGCCAGCTTAATCACACGCTTACTTACAGCCACACTCACCTCTTACCTCATGCTCACCTTCTTGAAGATGTACTGCGTTTAAGAAGGCAGATGCTTCCAGGTGCTGACAAATGCAGTAGGAATCAGCGAGTACGGGACCGTGGTGATGCTGTTCCACACATCTAACGTCGGGTCGTAACAGTCCAGGGTTTTGCAGCGCTGAATGCCGAAGTACCCTCCCACCACGTAGAGCTTGTTTCCAGAGGCCACAGCGTGGCAGCTCATGCGCTTTGCTGTGACGTCTCCCACCTTGGTCCACTGGTAAGTCTCACTGTTGAATTTGTAAGCAGAGCAGGCAGAGAACTCCGTATCTCCCCCCATAATGAAAATCTGGTTACCCAGAACTGCTGCTGCTGTGTAACGCCAGGGCTGGGGACAGGTGGCTGGTACCGTCCACCTGTTTTCACACTGATCGTAACACTGAACCTTAGGGAGCTTGTCATGGCTGACGCTGGTACCTCCGAAGGCGAACAACTTGAGTTTGGCACTCACCACCGCAGCATTGCTAACGCCTTCTCGGAGGGGGGCCACCATGGTCCATTTGTTGGTCGTGGGGTCGTAGTGTTCTACTTGCTTCAGAGAGACTGAGGGGGAGGCTGGGAGACAGCCCGTTGCAGCTGTGTGCCCCCCAACCACATACAGGCAGTGCTTCAGTTCAGCAGAGCCATGGCCGAACCTGGCCACCAGCATGGGGGCAGCTTTGGACCACTCTTCATGCAGGGTATCGTAAACCCAGACATCTTTTGAGACTCCATTTTCAGACCCCCGCCCCCCCGTAATGTACACTTTGCAGCCAATTGCACACGCACTGAACTCTTTTCTTGGGCTGGGGATGTCAGCCTTGGGAATTATTTCTTTGGCCTTCTGGTCCACCAGGTACAGCTTGTCGCACATGAAGGTCTGCCCTCCCAAGAGGAAGAGAGCATGGCCAGTCTTCCGAGGCCGGGCACAGAGGCTGGTTACCACGCCGTCGTTCTGCAGGATCTTTAGTTTGCACCGGATGGCCTCTTCCACAATCTCCTTGCTCTTTCTCTGCTTGGTAATGAGTTCCTCCATGGCCACATTCTCCATGAGATAGATGGCAGGCAGGAGAGCCAGCCTCACCGTCTGCAACAGCTCTGGGAGGTAGCAGTAGCGCTTCTTCAGGTCGTAGCTGATCCAGTTAATTGCAGACTCGTACACAAGCCTTTCATCTTCTGTCTCCAGCTCCTCACTGGACAAGAGCTGCACTACCATGTCCTGGGGCAGCTGGAGGAAATCCTCGTTCTTCCTGATGGTTTGGAAATTGCTGAGGCACATTCTCCAGGAGAGTTCGTACAGCTTCGTGCACTGGTGCGCGTCGGAGAGCAGGAGCATGCCCAGGCAGTTGGTGGGATGCAGGTTCTTTTCCAGGAACTCTGCACACGCGTCCCGGATGTCCTGGAACTCCAGCATGTCGCCGGCTTCCAGAAGCGATTCTGCATTTTCCTCGTTGATGATGACCCGGGAGGAGTACGCATAGTCGAGCAGCAGCTCCAAAACTTCTGGGTGGATGGAGTTGTCGAAGTTGACTTCACTGTCCTGGCTCTCTTTCAGGCCACCGCTGAACATGGCTTCAAAGTAGCGGCTGCAGGCAGCCAGCACCGCTCGGTGACAGGGGAAGGTCCTATTCCCGGCATGGAGAAGGACGTCCGTGAAGAGGCGCTGCTGGCGTAAAAGGTTCAAGTGCGTGAGGACACTGTCGGCGTAGGAAGACTTGTGAAACAGATAGATGTTAATGGAGCCACTGCTGGCCCTGGACTTGCGGTTCTCATGCACACTGACTGACATTTTGTTTCCACTCCTAAAATGAAAACAAAACAAAACAAACCACTGAACGTGATGCTCCCGATGTTCAGAACAGCAGAACAGAGCCACACAAATCGTTGTGAACAGAGAAAACAGAACACTTTGCCCTCAGCCCTGGCGCCTACTGCTCGGAATAATGGATGGCCGAGCCTGTACAAAGTCAGAGACAACCACCTATAAGGAAAGGCATTCACTGTAACACTGCTGGGCTATTAGAACACTGTTTAAAAAAAAAAAAAAATCAAGGCTTGCAAGCAGGTTCATCTTGGAAAACCTGACTGCCAACTTTCAGGATACTGAAGTCCTTGAGAACGTAAGCCAGCAAAGCCCAAGACGAGGGAGGTCTCACCCTCATAGCTCCCTGCCCTTGTCCAGCTGATTCACTGCAGGCCACTTAAAATGCTGGGCTTCCAGTTCTCATAACGCCAGGACGGGCACCAGCCTTTATGCCCCAGCAACATAAAGCCATGTGTAAAACAAGTACCTACTAATTAATTCCAGTTAGAATTCCTTTAGTAAGATCCGGTTTCTCTGTGTATCGCAGTAAATGGGCAATGTAACCTTAAAATCATAGGCTTAAGCCACCTTCTTCCACGATCAGATCTTTATTGGAATGTTAACAATTTCTAACCAGACAATTCTACCACGCCCTCAAAGAGTCCTCAAAGAGCACCAATATAAACATTAGCATATATTGATCAGCAGGCTTTTGTGAAAACACAGAACAGATTCTGGCCACAATCACCACCCATCTTTCTTGCTCTGGACAGCTTCCAAAACGAGGATTTGCACACATAAAAGGAAGAATATTTTGAGTAGCATACTCATCACTGCTGTTTTTCTTTCTTCCTGCTTTATATCAGTTCCTGGAAAACCAGATGCAGGAACAAAGGATCTATCCATCCCTCTCTTTTGATTCAACAGTGCATCACCAGGACCGTTCTTGTGTACCTGCAAACACGGGCAGGTGCACAGGAGTTCAAAACGCAAACCCTGCTTTATGTAAATCAAATGCACTCACACCTGTGTGTGTGTGTGTTGTGTGTGTGTGTGTATTTTGCCAGCCATTGTTAATTTAGGGCCACCCTAGAATTTATTTGCTGACTAAAGTACTTTCCTCTGTATTACTGAAATTACAGCAAAATCTAATGCTGTCTTTGGCTTTTTTCAGTAAGTAAACCGTAGGTTAAAGACATAGGACATACCTATCACCTATCTTCAAAAACTGAATCACATGCTTTTCATTTTTTTTTTTTCCTTTTTTAATCCTATCCTTCTGTTACTTCAAAAGACTAAAGCCTTCAAGAACCCGCCTGTCAAAGGATTCCTAAGGAAGCTGTTTATGCCAGGAGGGTAAACAACCGTGTAAGTTACAGTATCTGTTCCCAACACAGAACAGTTAGTTTTTACAGGCAGCTGAAGCCTACCGCCTCCTCGTTTCCTTCAACAGTTCAGATATTTTTTTTATGTATATTGCAGTAATTACTAATAAACGCAAAAGAGCCATTTTCCACAGATCCACAGGCTAGCCACCAAGCTGCACTTCCTGCCCAGCCGTGGCACAGCACAGCACACAACAAAGGGCAGGTGCCAACTCTGCCTGGACACACCGGCCACAAAGCCTTAGGAGATGCAACTTGTTTTCTTTCAGTTTTGGAATGTTAACTCTTCACTAGCAGTAAACATGGCTCGGTGGAAGAAAGTTAGTAACAACGTTCTAGGGCTCTGGTGTTAGGACGACAACATTCGGTGTCCACAACAACTTTAGGATAGGACAAAGGGTGAGGAGCCCCCCATGACCCGTACCTCAAGCAAAGCCTTTACAGTCCAATCCATGTGAAGCGATGTCCAGTGCTCTGGAGAACCAACTCCACGCTATGTGAACGCACCAAGTCTCCCAAGCCTTAGAACACACATTAGCATCCCTGATGCTCTACCACTATAGTTGTGAATTAGTACATTCAATCTGAAGTACTTTGAGGAAGGTTTTAAGCTTAAACCTCAAGAGATGCTATGAATACTCTGATGCCTTATATAGAAACATACAAACATTCCAAATGAGTAGTTCTGCTTTCTTTTTTAAGCAATGCTTCCAAAGCACTCTCAAAAAGCTGCCTTCTCTCAAGCTAAGAGTGAACACACCTCTAGCTGAAGAATGAGGCGCCCTGCACAAGGTACATGACACCGAAGTGCCTGCACACTGAATGGGAATCACACCGGGGCCCAGAACATGTTTCCCTGAGCATTAGATTCCAAACAGGGTAAAACAACATTCTCACAAGGCTCACCCTTAAGAAAACAGTTTGTTTAGAAGACCTTAGGATATAGGATCTGCATCCCTATGCCTCCTGTGTTTATGCGCCTGCATTTTCCAGGCTGCCCCACAAAACCAGAAGGAAGAGGCTAGCCTGTCATCTTGGATACCATCCAGATGGAGAAGCATGTCACAGGCAAAATCCAACATGCTTGCAGCAATACTTGCTTAAAATAAAGGGTAAACTTAAAGACCCAAGGGAAACGACTTACTTTCTGGTTTAAAATTATGCAAACATCAAAATATCAGAAGCCATTTATACAGTCACCAAACACACCTTCAACATAAAACGAATCACCCTTCCACTATTTTTTAAGCCCCCAGAGAAATATTTGCATGCCAAGTAGCCCCCCCCAAAAGCATACATATACTTAACCTGTGTCTACAAAGAAGACCGAGAAAGGGCTGCTATTACCCTGAACATCAAAAGGACTTCTAGTTACAATAACTTCAGTTCACTTAATGCTCTTTACTCAAGCTCCCTGCTGCCAATACTTTGCGTCCCGTCACATCTCCTTAGGTTTTGAACCTGGTCTCAATGCACTCAAAGGAGAAACGAGGCAGATTTTCTCGAGCATTTACCTTACTGATAACAATGGAACGACATTAGAAGACATTGTTAACAAGGAAACCAACTGACCAGACAGCCCTCTGTAACACTTGCAACGCTCTTCAGCACGCTGGCCGTACCTGTGAGGGCAACACGAAATTACACGCCGAACAAGTTTCAAGGTTCGTCTCCACCACGCCCACCAATTCCTATCCTTTGAAACTCCTAATGTCACACCAAAGGCCAAATACGTGCACGAGAAGAAATTATTTTTCAGAAAGTTTTCATTCATTCCCCGCAGACATTCCACCGCAGGGAACGTGCCGTCACGAAGACGGTGTGTCGCGTGGCCGCGGCGCTCCCCTGTGCCGGGTGGGGTGCAGCGTGGGCCGACAATCCCGGGCGCTCGGCCCCGGGGGCTGCGAAGTGCGAGGCCGAGCGACAGCCACCCCCAGCGAAGCGCCGCTTTTGGTGGAGGAAGGAAACCCCGGCTCGGCTCTCCGATCCCCAGCAGCTGGCCCGCGGGCCGGCGGGCCGGACCAGAGGAGATCCCTCCGGCGCTGGCCAGCGTCTGCACGCTGTGGGAGGGCAGCGGCGGCCCCCGAGGTCTCCGCCCCGAGAACAGTTCCCCCACCTCCGCCCAAGTCGGGGTTCGGGGCTCCGGGGCGAACGCACACCCCCGGCGAACACCCCCCGCAGGCCAAGCTGCCCCGGAGAACCGCGACAGCCTCAACAGGTCCGGGGCGGCGGGGGAAACTTACGGCGGCGGCGACCGGCGTCAGCGCACAACCAGCTGGGTCCTCGCCTAGGTCACCGGGCGGGAGGCGACAAGGCGGACGTCTCAGCCCCGGGGAGCGGCGGCGATTGCCGGGGCGAAAGGAGCGCGCATGGGGCGCCCGCCGGGGAGAGGACAGCGCCTCGCGACCCCCACGCCGCGGACTCCGCTCGCGACCCGCAGAGCGTCTCCCGGAGCGCGTCTCAGGAAGAGAGAGCGAGCCTGCAGCCGCGCAAGGAGGCGGGCTGTGCACTCCGGAGAGGGAGCTAGAAAGCGCTCGAGCGCGCCGGCGGCCGCCTGGCGTCTGGACTCGGTCTCCGCAGCGCCACCGCCGCGCCGCCTCCTCTCCGGCTGCTCAAGCAGTCTGCGCCCAGCGCCCGCGCGCCGGGCTATAAGCGGCGGGGCGAGGCGCGGCGGGAGGGGAGGGGAGGGGAGGGGAGGGGAGGGGAGGGAGGGAGGAGACGGTGCGGATGTAGAGTGACACTAGGGGAAGGAGGGAGGAAGCGCGTGAATGCCGCCCGCGGAGGAGGAGGAGGAGGAAGGGGAGGAGGAGGCGACGGGGAAGAGCTGGAGAAGAGCGTGTCGGGGGAGTTAATCGAGAGAGGAAGCGGGGGAGGGGGGCTGCGGAGAGTGGAGGGAGACAAAGCGGACACGGTGCCTAAGCCACCAGCAGCTGCAATCCTCAGGGACCGCGAGTTGAACAAGTTTGGCCGGGTCGGAGTGCCTGCGCCTCTCCGGCCCAGCCCGGTTTAAGGACAGCCCCGGAGCTGAGGGACCCTCGGCGGCGGAGGCGCCCGGCTGTGCGCCCCGCGATGCCGGAGTCCGCGAGATGCTCAGGAAAGGGGAGCGAGGGGGCAGCTGGGTGTCCGCCGCTCGCGCCCTGGGCGGAACACCTGGAGCGAGGACGGGGGCAAGGGCAGGGGCACAAGTTTGGTCACTGCGGGGACACTGCGGGTTGGGCATAGGCGAGCCATCGGGTCTCTCGCTGGCGAGGGGTGCAGACAGACTCCAGCGCCTGGCGTTCCCCCTGCGTCCGCCCTCCGCCCCCCCCCCCCCCCCGGGTGCGGCACCCGCTGCCGGACTCTGCCCCACGCGGCCGGGAGCAGCGGCTGCGGGGCGCCGTCCCGCGGGGCGCGCACCACGTGCTTGGCAGCCAATCGCGGCCGGCGCTAGATTCAAAGCGAGCCGCTCAAAGGAGCGGCCACGCCGCCCCCTCTCCCTAGCGAGAGAGCCCCAGTCGCCCTCTCGGGCTGGGCCCTTCCTGTCTTTTATCGCTCTGCTGTGTTGGTTTGGGGTTCGGCAAAGAAATGGCCCAGCACCCGGGTTTGAGGCGTTGCGTGCCAGAGGAAAGGAAAGCGATTCGAAAAACAAGCTCGAAGGGCGATGGCTCTTGGCCAGACCCATTTTCATCTTTGCCACTAAGGGCTGTATTTCCACTGGGACCTAAAACGCCTGTTTGGTTTTTATTAGATATTTGGAATAAAATCTATGAATGAACGGTAGAGATCACCGTCCCAGCCTCCTCGTTGTGCAGGTTAGGAAACTGAGACCCAGGGAGATGTGAATTGTCCAGCTCGAGGTCACACGGCCCCTTAGCAGAGGCTCCGCTCTGCAGCTCAAGTAGGGATCCACCGAAGAGTTCTCTCCCTTCCCCAACTCCCCCACCTCCTAGCTTTCCTCTAAACACTAGATGCAGAAATGGTTTAAACAGGTTGAGGGGGCTCCACCTAACGCTGCCGGTGTCCAGACACTGCCTCAACCAGGGCTGTTGGTTCTTTATTCTAATCCCACTCGCCCCTCCCCAACCTCCCAGCACCCCCCGCCCCGTCCCTCCTGGTATGCGCTTGAGAAATTTCGCTCCCTGCAAGCAAGGAAAGACAGTGCCCTCTGAAGTCCTTTGTTAGCATTAACTCGTCAGCCTCACCGTGAGCCTTTACAAATCTGTTTCATATTTTAATTTGTGATGCAGACTCAGGCCCAGACTGTTAACAAAGCCAGAGACAGCTGGATCAATTCACGGTGAGAATCACGTGCAGCGTTTCTGGGGCTGCCAGGTGAAGAGAGGAGCCCAGCAAGCCGATCCTGTTCCTGAAGGAGGTGTGGATAAAATGAGCCAAGACCAAACGCAGAGCAACGCTGTAGATACCAGAGATGGGTGCTGGAAAGAAGGGAGGTGGAAGTGTGGAGCTAGCGTACACGTCTTTTGAAAAACGTGTGTCTGTAGCCTGTGGCAAGGTGTGGAGGCAGCCCATTAGGGCAGCCTCAAAGGCACCTCCTAGAAGTGCTTTGTCAGTCCATGTTGTGGGCTCAAAGTGAGTCCGTTGCTTTGGAAGACCAGACATGAATGTCTTCCTCTGGGAAAAAATGTTCTGTTTAAACGAAGAGATTAACACTTTTTCTCACTAAGGAGAAGTATTTCTTTCTTACTTTAGTCACTTAGCAAATCTACATGGAACTGTAGGTAGATGATCCTGCCGAGAAATAAAACATGTGGGGGAGCCTGGGTGGCTCAGTTGTTAAGCGTCTGCCTTCGGCTCAGGTCATGATCCCAGGGTCCTGGGATGGAGCCCCGCATCGGGCTCCCTGCTTGGCAGGGAGTCTGCTTCTCCCTCTCCCACTCCCCCTGCTTGTGTTCCCTCTTTTAGGGGCGCCTGCCTTCGGCTTAGGTCATGATCCCAGGGTCCTGGGATGGAGCCCCGCATCGGGCTCCCTGCTTGGCAGGGAGTCTGCTTCTCCCTTTCCCACTCCTCCTGCTTGTGTTCCCTCTTTTAGGGGCGCCTGCCTTCGGCTCAGGTCATGATCCCACGGTCCTGGGATCGAGCCCCGCATCGGGCTCCCTGCTCGGCGGGGAGCCTGCTTCTCTCTCTCCCACTCCCCCTGCTTGTGTTCCCTCTCTCTCTGTGTCTCTCTCTGTTGAAAAAAATAAATAAAATCTTAAAAGTAAATAAAACGTGCACAGCTCGGTTGGTTGACTAGGGATTTTGTCACAGGAAGCCACTGAGTTAGGAACAGGCAAGGCAGTCTGTTTCTGTTGCATCTTCACCACCTGGAAACTGCAGTGTCCTTAACCATGGGGACAGCAACATTTGTTTCTCCTTGCCGGGTACTTTGCTAAGCAGGCAGGGGGATCCTCGACGTTGGCTCATCATCCTCGGATGCCATTTCCCTGCTCTGTTCTACCTAATGTTGCCATCTTTCTGGGCTTCAAGAAAAGAGAAGGAAAAAACGTCGTAGCTTTGGGAAATCTTGAACTGTATTCAGTGACCATAGACGTTTGCTTCATCTGCCTCAGGGAGATAAGCAACATGAGGCAGAGGAAAGAAATTAGCTTCTGGAGGGTATAAAAGTGGAAAACATTTTCCTGCTGAGAGAGAGAGGTTGCATTTGGGGGAAAATGTGTGTGCTTTCAATGACCTCCTGCAAACCACACTGGTTTGCTTGAACCAATGTCTGACAAGCTTTCAGGCCTCTGTGCCCTTTCTACTGTTTATTTTACAGCTGCAAGTGATTTGCAAGTTAGCATATTTCTGATCACAGCAACTCAAACTGTTATTACCCCGGCATCTCTCAGCCAAGCCTAAGGGTAATTCTTACCACTCTCCTCACAGGATGAGAAGGTGAGCAAGTCGTGGATGTGTACATGAAGAACTCTCTAGACAGGCCTGTGATCCAACTGGACAAGCGTACACATAGTCGATGTCTGAGTCATAAACAAGTCAGGAAATGCTGTGGGTCTGTGTCGTACAGTGACCACCACCCGACTCAAGATGTTAGCCCATTCCCATAGGCCCCCGGGAGCTGGTCTTCGCCTCTGCCTTGTGACACCAAACCAAGGTCTCATTTTTAATGCTATTAAGAAGCTGTGCCCAAGGCTTTGGCCTTGTTATCTCCCTTAACAACGTTATTTTGTTAGGCTGCAAAATAAGCAGCATGGGGTTAAATGTATTAGCTGCCTTCCAACCTAATTTATCTTCATTCCTTCCTAATTTACACTCGGGCTGAATTAATGAGAATGATTTAATTAACACAGTGCGACCATGGTACCAGGGACAAGACAGCTCGGGGGATTAGACCAAACAGTGGGCTAAGCAGCTGCCATCCTGCCTCCTGTGGTTTCCCCAAAGCCCCACCCGAATTTCAGACATGTTCCCTGCCAGGCTTCCAAGGGTCTTCTTTGTTCTTTGATCCACTTCCTGAATCTGTGTGAGGAAAATGGCACTGCTTTCCTTCCTCGCCTTATTTCTAAGAGGGGCTTCCGGGCTGTGGTCTGTAGAATAAGGATGGCAGAGGGGCCCGGCGCTCACTAGAGAGGTATGCTCTTCCTCCCCCAGTGTCAAGTTTGTGCTGGGAAATGGGACACTGAGCCAGGGACGGGAAGCCCCTGGCTGCACTTGTCTTGGGATCAACACCTGTGGAAGGAAAGGGAGGGAAGCAGGATGGGCAAAGGGAGCTCAGCCGGGATGCAGTCTCAGCTGAGGCCTCGGATGGCCCCCACGGGGAGCCCTGGAGTGGAAATGAGCCTGCAGAGCTGTCCGCAGTCAAAGCGAGAAGGCCAGGTTTTATGTGGCTGCATCAACCAGTTGCTGAGTCCAGGCTACCCAGGAAAGGGACCAGGGCTCGTTCAAGGCGGCACTCTTCCACAGAGTTCTCAGTTCGGAAGAGGGCGGGTGGCTGAGCGCCTTCTGCAGCCAGCGCCCCAGCCACTGGGGGAAGAAGTCCTTCGGTCTCGCAGGAGGAGTCGAGGGACTTAGCTCAGGGCCCACGTCAACACCACTCCTTGACAGAGATGCAAACCTAGAGAAATGAGACCTCAGCTCTTACTTTCAAAAAAAGGGGATTCTTAAAAATCCGGCTATTTAT